ACCCCAAAACCCTAAACCCCCAACCCTAAACCCCCAAACCCTAAACCCCCAAACCCTAAACCCCCAACCCTAAAGCCCCAAACCCTAAACCCGCAACCCTAAACCCCAAACCCTAAACCCCCAAGCCCTAAATCCTCAACCCCTAAAGCCGCAACCCCTAAATCCTCCACCCCTAAAGCCTCCACCCCTGAACCCTCCCTGAATGTGTTGGGGATCGGGGCTCTTGGGGGAGTTTCGGAGGCTCGGCCTCGGGGGTCTTCTGAGGTTCTGAGTGAACCGGAAAAGGCCTTCGGCTTCGGACTTCGGGGGGTTTGGCGTTTAGGGGTTTAGGGTTTAGGGGCTTTCGGAGCTCCGTTTTGTGTGGTTTGTTTGTTGGTTGGTTTAATTGTCTCTGCTTCTGATGGAACAACCTATCACGAGGATGCTGTAATTATAGGGTGCAGGTAAGGATCGAAGCAACTAGCCAAGAAGATACTGAATGGCTTTCAGGGGCAAGCACATGAGCTGACCAAGACAGATCTCTCGAGTGGGTCGATCCTTTTCCCAGGCCTCTCAAAACAACCCGACGGCCTAAAGCTTGCACATTGAAGCAGCCCGAGAACCCAACAGGAAGACTGGGTTGACCTTACTCCGCACCTCCAAAACCCTAAACCCTGACCCTAATTAGATCCATCGAGACCCCAAGCCCTATACACGAATTAAAGCCTAAACCACAACCCTTCTAAGCCCCAAGCCCTAAACCTAGGACCTAAGCCCTGTATGCCCCAAACATCCCCAAACCCCTCATGCGCGAAGCAAGCAGCAGAGGAATCTGGCAGTCCACTTTGGGCGAGATTCGAGATCAACTCGCTTTGCCACCTGTCTTCCCTTAGCCTTGCTGTTTTGAGTTTAGGGTGTAGGCTGGGTTTCGGGTTTAGGGCAGTTTAGGGGTTGAGGGCTTAAGGTTGGGTTTGTTTATTTTTTTGGGCTTGGGTCTCTTAGGGGCTGAGGGTTGTGTAAGTAAATCAAGCGTGGTCTGCATTTAGGTGTTCAGTTTCGCGAACTTGCAATCCGCAAGAAACAACTTCCGCTCTTTGCAGCCAGTACCCTTAAAGGAGCCTTGAAATGAACCCTTAAAGGAACCCTCAAAGGAACCCCAAAAGGAACCCTTAAAGGAACCCTCAAAGGAACCCCAAAAGGAAGCCTTAAAGGAACCCTCAAAGGAACCCCAAAAGGAAGCCTTAAAGGGACCCCCCAGCTCCTTCCTGCGAGCTCCTCCCATGAGCTCAGGTCTACGCCGGACGCTGACAGTCAGGTCGGGGGGGTCGGGCTTCGGTCCTAAAGGTCGGAGGCCTCAAGAGGTGGGATGAAGGTAGGTAGGATCAAGGATCCCTTATATAAGGACTACTATTTGGGAGTATCCCAGCTACCTTCACCCCACCTTTTGAGGCCTCCGGTAGGTGACCCTACCCTTATCCCCCCCATTTTAGGGTTTAGGGATCCCCATATAGAGTTTCAGGGTTTGGGGATCCCCATTTTAGGGCTTAGGGATAGGCATGTCGAGTTTCGGGGTTTAGGGATCCCCATTTTTAGGGTTTAGGGATCGTCATGTGGGTAGTTCTCTAAAGTGGGTAGTCCCATTTAGGGCCTTTTTTTATAAGGGTGCCGTACTAATGATATATTGGGGACGTAAAACGGGACCCTGATTTAGAAAACTAC